GAGAGGAGGGTAGAAGTAGAATCTAGACTTCTCTAAAAACACCTTATAGATTTGACTTTGGAAATATATAACTGTTTTGTATCATTATGAAACAAAATGAAATCCTAATTTTTTGAAAAATCAAGCTTTAAAATTAAAAGCAAAATAAAACAAATGAACTTGATAATGTATCAAGGTGGTGGCTTAACTACTTAGAGAAGACTTGTTTCAAATGTTTTAAAACATAGTAATTTGACAATATCTATGGATTTTACATAAAGGACCAAAACTAAATAATTTTCAGTAATAATTTAATATTGTTCATATTAGTATTGTTATTCTCAAACCATGGAGTTGATTCAACTCATAGCGACGCCTCCTTGGGTTTCTGAGATGGTATCTCTACAGAAGTAGATTGCCCAGTCTTCCTTCCGAGGAATGGCTGGTGGGTTTGAGCCGCCAACCTTCTGGTTAGCAGTCAAGTGCCTTAGGCACTACACCACCAAAGCCACTATTGTATATGTATATTTACATGTAAATATTAACATAATATATACACACTAATACACAGATAATAGATAAATATGAAAGAAACCTGCTTTTGAAAACAACATAATTTGGAGAAATGACTGAATCCAGTTTTGAAGCAGAAAGTGGTATAAACGTGGAACATCTTTTCTTACCAGAAAGCAAAAGAGGCTATCAAAAATCACAAGGGTCATATCAAAAGGATGTAGGAACCTATGTGAGAGATTATCACTGGCCAAATTGGGCATCAATAAGAATAATAACTCCAACGGGCTGAAACACATCAAATATTAGAAAAATCTGAGTTCATAATGAAACTTTAAAGGAGTCCCTGTTGGAAGATGTTAAAGAACACAAGATCACTATGAGTCAGAATCGACTCAATGGCACCCAACAACAAAGAACAAATACATGATTCTAATGACTGGTAAACCACACATTTCTGAAGTATCTCAAAGATGAGAAAAGAGATTGAGAACAAAAATGCCCACTGTCACAGAGCTGAAGTGGCAGAGCTAGACTGGTGTATTCCAGAGAGAAGCATTTATCCATTATTTTTAAAAAATTGAGTTTGACTTAATATAAGCCAAAAGACCAGAGGGTGAGGTAGTTAATCAGGTTCAATGGTGGTGTCTTATTATAAATATTATTATATTGAGTAGGGAAGGAGCTCTGGTGGCTCAGTGGTAAAAGCATTCAGCTGCTAACCAAAAGGTCGGAAGTTCGAACCCATCAGCGCTCTGTGGGACAAAGATGAGGCAGTCTGCTTCTGTAAAGATTTACAAACCCTGTGGGGCAGTTCTACTCTGTCCCTATAGGGTCACTATGAATCAGAATTGTCTTGATGGCACTGGTTTTTTGGGTTGAGTAGAGAGACCTTAAAACCTATGGGCTCATAAAAATAAATAGCATTGCTCCGTTAAGAAAAAAACAAACAAAAAAAAAAAAAACCATGCATATGAGACCAAAAGGTCAACAATTCCTCTAAAGCAAAAATGAGAAGAGGCAGGGAAACTATAGAGTATTGGAAATGGAACAACCAGAATGCAATGAAAAAGAATGACACATTGTGAAAAACGTAACTAATGTCACCAACCAGTTTGGGCAGAAACTGTCAAATTGCACCCTAATTTGCTGTGTAAACTTCCAGGGAAAATACGATTTTTTTTTTTTTTTTTTAATGTCTAATAAGAACAAAGGCGCTCTGGTGGCATACAGCCTCAGGCATTTGAGTGCTAATCAGAAGGTTGCTGGTTCAAACCCACCAGCCACTCTGCAGAAGGATGACTGGGCAATCTGCTTCCATAATTTACCAACTCAGAAACCCAAAGGAGGTCACTGAGTCAGAATCAATTTGATGGCAGCAAGTTTGGTTGTGGTTTTTTTTTTTTTTTTTTGAGTAAAAACAAAATGTTAATTACTTTTCCACCCCTTCATTCCTACTAACATTATTTTTAGGTTTTTATTTTAGTTTCTCCACTAAATTATAAACCCTTCATGGATAAGATCTCAGAATCAACTCTTAACCATCAGTTTTTCAAATGACGATCACATTAGTTCTACTTCACAGTATTAAAAGTTAACACCAAAAATTTTCAAACCAACCTCAATTTAGATTAACTAAAAATCTAAGCTTCTCAATCAGATCCCTAAGAGTTGAATTACAATTTGCATTCTTAAAATCCCAATACAATTTATGGGGAAACTTTTAAAATTTCATTTGGATTCATATACAGAAAAGCCATTGTATAATTTATTAAGCTTGGTCTTATTGCAAATCATGGGCTTCTCAGGTAAGTCTGGAACAAGTCAGCAGTTTCTGCATAGGGCCAGATTCTATTTTAGGCTCTGTGGGCCATATGGTCTGTCATACTTTTTAACCACCTTTTAAAAATGTAAAAAACATGATACACTGAGTTCATGTGCCAACACGAATATGTTGAGCTGCGTGCAGCACAATCTGACCTGCAGGCTAACTTGGACTTGAGAGCTCTTAGGCTATGACTTTTGTTTCCTTCTTGATTCTGTCCTGGGACAGGCCTCGAGGCACAGCATGCAATTATTTCCATGTGTAATAAAAGCAAACCAGGTATTGTAAAATTGGTTCACTCCTAGGTTGGCAAATGATAAAGGCAAACACTGTAAAACTTCACGGGTATGTATTTTCAATCAGGCAAAGTGGCTGTCTTAACTGACTTTCTGATCATATGAGCAAGTCAGGCCTGTTCAAGAGCTCGCTCTTGGCAGTTAGAAACATGTAAAAAGGGAGAGAAGGAAAAGGCAGAAAGAAAAGGGCAGTGATGGTTCAGGGGTAGAATTCTAGTCTTCAGTGGGAGTTTCAGGTTCTACTCCTGACCAATGGACCATCCTGTCAGTGGAGACTCGTGTGTTTCTATGCTGCTGAAGAGGTTTCACACCTTCTAGACAAGGACAGAGTGGAAGCCTGGTGATCTAAGAATCAGTCAGTAAAAACCCTGTGTAGATCACAATGGTCTGACTGTTACCTGGCCCATGCCCCCAAAGCTCTTGGAATTACTTTCCCTGGTAACTCCTTTTGTTCCTTTTTTACAGCTAGTAGTTACAAGCAGGAGACGAGTACCCCGGTTCCTACCACAGCTGGCCCATGGAGAATGTGCATGAGACTCCAGCCTTGTCCTAAGACCGAATGATGTATCTGCCATGAAAACCCCCCCACTCATCATGCTAAAGTTGCCATTTTTAGATGTGATGACTGCTGTGTGCACTTACATCATCCTAAAAATCCCTGTGCATTAGAGCGCCAAAATTTCAGTATCATTTTCCTTTTCAAATGCCATAAAGCTATGAATCACATTTACTTCAAGGAGTCAGATTTGAGGAGAATTCCTCCTAACTCCTTACTCAGTGCGACGGAAATAAAAAGCTATTTTATAATTCTCAAAGGGGGTATATCCAGAGATAAGGACCCGTGCACACCAGACAGCAACCCTCCTTGGGGTCCCCCTCTATTACGTGATCGCATCATGCATGGGTTCCCCATGAGTTAGAGGCTATTTCAAAGGTAGCAACAAGAGAAATGGTGTTTTATTTAAGTAGGAGAAAATAATTACAATTAAGTGCAGTCAGACTGAACATTAAAAAACAAAACAGACAGCTAGAATAAAACATTTTATTATTAAAATAAAAACCTTTGTATAAAAGCATTACAGATCAAAAGCTCTATTTACATTTATTGAGTCAAGGTCCAATTAGGCATCAAACACTGAACAGTCACTCCAACAAAGTAGACGTACAAGCACACAGATCCCACCTCTACCAAATGATGTGATTAATGAAAAAAAAAAAAAAAACCCACAATAACAACAAACTGGCTACAAACTAAATTGGCAGAGCTGTCAAGTTAACAAACCATTAAAAGTCAACCATCTCCAAAAAGGCACTTCTCATTACTATAAAAGCGCTTAAAATCTGAACATCAATACTATGCCCAGCTTATAACTTCTTTAGGAAAGCAAAAATGGCAAAGCATTGTAGACTAGAGTAGCACTGTAGTCTGAATTTTTCACATAAAATGATCCAAGACCTAAATCGGAACACCTTACATAGGAACTGCAATAAACTTGGCAAACTAAAATTATACTAAAGTTTCATACTAAGAACTTCAAATGAGCCTACTCCTGAAGTTTTACCACTAAATTCCAAGGATGGATATCCAATGACGATTTTAAGTAACTCCTTGCCCACTAACCTCTGGATCATAATGACTGTGTAAGCAGGATTCACCACTTAACCTTATAATGGAAGAAGTCAGCACCAACTAAGTCTCAACGGTGCCAACTTGTGTAACAAGCACAATACAGAGGCATCTAAAGGAATGCACTCTACTTTGCAACAACTCATTTACCACATGGTTTTAAGACCTTTGTGATTTGATTCTGTTAAAAATTATGAACGAGAATGAACACAAAAGTACATGTTTTCATAAAATCAAAGGGCTGTTGTATGGAATTCATTTAGTTAGTTAATTCTACTACTTTGTTCTAAGTGCTTGGTTTTATGGGTGCACGGCAGGGTTATTTCAACATCAAATCTTTAGGGAAGCAGACTGTCACATCCTTCTTCCATAGGGCAGCTGGTGGGTTCAACTGTCAACCATTCGGTTAGCAGATGAGCACTTAACCACTGTACCACCAAGGCTCCTCAATCAAACATACTTTCATATTAATTGTCATTTAAAAACAGTTCAGAAAAATAAGTGGTAGAAGAGGGCCACTGGACAAGAAAGAGATGAGGTCAGGGGTGGTGGGCAGAGAAACTGCAGGACAGCAAAGTCTAACTAGCAACATACATCTGTGCAGCTCCCACCCACAGCTGTGTCTAAAGAGACTGACATGATTGAGTTTCCTGTAACAGAATAACCACCAAAAAAGTGAGGTTTCAATCAACTTGATACAACTGAAAAGTTTAACAAGGAGACTTGAGAAGTTCAAGGCAATTAGTAAATCTTCTGGATGTTATGCTTGCATTTCAAACTCCTGCTTCAGACTGTGAAAGAGAAAAGGAAATGTATTAGGATATAGTTTTCAGCCTAAGAACTCTCTCTTGAAAGCCTAACTCACTTTCCAAAACCTGTTTTTATTGAATTATACTTACGGTCAAGTACACAAATCTCAATTTATACATGTATGTATAGCTGGGTAACTACAACCCAGATTAAGATATAAAACATTGCAAACACTCCAAAAGGCTCCCACCGTGCTCCCTCTCAGGCAATAACCCCCTCCCTGCCCTAGAGATAACCACTATCCTGACTTTTATCGTCTTTATATTAAGACACATAAATGAATATAAGATTCAGGCACAGGAGAAAAAAGCAGCTACCATTACCTTTTCAAGTAAGCATGGACATTCCCAAAGCCATGGTATTTGGCCAAATACACCAGGACCCCAGTTGCACACCGCCCATCACGCTGCCTACAGAAGCTGCAGTTACAGATTCCACGACAAGGTGGACAGTGCCAGTTCTGAAGGAGAAACAAAGAAAGGCATAAGTAAGCTGCTGAGACTACTCAGATATAACCAAACACCTTTTGTGATTAGTTTTCTTAGTTCAAACAAAGGTTTAGGGTCATGGTTTTATGGGACAGGCCACACAACTGGCCTAATACTGTTTTTTAGAATTTCTGTTCTACCTCCTAGTTTGTGTAGTAGGTAGAGTCTCAAAAGCTTGGAACAACAGAGGCAGAAGGTGAAGCAGGAATTGAAGGAGGAATGGAATATGTGGCTAATTGCTTTCACGTACAAGTGCCTCCAGTGCCATGAAACCAGAACTGTATGATAGTCTCTCACTGCCATTACACAGTGTTTTGATCAAGGACTCAATACATGGGTCCTGATCAAAAGAAGGAAAATTTGGAATTTCTAATTCTTGTGGAATCCAGACTTACTGGACCCACTGAGAATGCAGAAGCCCCCAAATATATAGCCCTAAGATAATCTTTAAACCTGGAACCAAAACATCCCCTAAAGTCATCCTTAAGCCAAACAACAGCTCAGCTCAATTAGTAAAGATTGTTTGCCTTGAGCAGTGCACACTTTTAAAGGATTATATATGTAAGTTGACAACAGTAACTCTAAAGCATGGACGAGAAGTTTAAGAGGCAACAATACTAAATTAATGGTGGTGAATAATTCGGGACAAGATAGAATGATGACATAATGTGAAGAATGTAACCAGTGTCACTGAATTGTACCCACAGAATTTGCTGAATGGATGCATGTTTGGTTGTATATACTATAATAAAAGAAAAAGTACAATTAAATTAAAATTATCTTTATCCCACCTTACTTATCAACTCAAGGGGAGCTCTGGTGGCATAGTGTCTAAGGCATTTGACTGCTAACCTCAAGATTGGTGGTTCAAACCCACCAGCCACTCCGAAGAAAGAAGACTGGGTAATCTACTTTCATAAAGATTTATCATCAATTGCTTTTTCAACTCTAAGGTAGGTACCACTAATTGCATGTAACCCCTTGGTGGACATAAAATCGTAACATTTCCTAATGTTTCCTTAGGAAATCCAGCAGAAGTTACATAGCAACTACCAGGGATAAATGGTGAATCAACTTCTCCTAGATGTTCCAGTGCCAAGTACCCAGGACAGGGTGCTCAGCCTGTCCTGCACAAATGCTATGAATCAATCTGCCTGCCCTGAAATGAACACCACACAAGACTGAGGGTTCTAACCCTTTACACCTCCAGAGCCCTGAAAAGCTTAACAATATGCACTGGGTAATAAGAAACTTTCCTTCCATAGGACCAATGGTTCTATGCTGGGATATTTCCTCTCCTGTACTAAGGCAAGCGGGCCACACATAAACTTAAAATCAAGCAAGCTTCTGAATCTGAGTCCTAAATAGAAATACAAGACTTTAGAAATATTTTTTCTGCACCTCGGTATGAAGCAATACAAAGCACCTGCTGTTGCTGTTAGGTTCTGACTCATAGTGACCCCGTGTACAACAGAAGGGAGCTGTGCCCGGTCCTGTGCCATCCTCACAATCACTGCTACGCTTGAGCCCACTGTTGCAGCCACAGTGTCAGTGCATCTCATTGAGGGTCTTCCCCTTTTCTGCAGACCCTCTACTTCACCAAGCATGCAATCCTTCTCCAGGTATCGGTCCCTCCTGATAACGTGACCAAAGTATGAGAGACGAAGTCTTCCTATCCTCGTTTCCAAGGGACATTCCAGCTGTATTTCTTCCAAGACAGATTTGTACTCAGTATTACCAATATTTAATCCAAAGCTAAGTCAGCCTTGGGATCTGACCTTATAGAAAAGGCAGAGAATAGAGGAATAAGGTAAACACCACCACGAAGAACAGACAATGTGACACTCTACAAGACAACTGACCAAGGGTCTTCAACAGGTCAAAAGCATGGGGGAAGGAAGGGAGGGAAGATGTTAACTATTCTACACTATGCCACGTGGGGACCTTATTTGGATCCTGGCTTGAGCGAACTCACTGTACAGAAGATATTTTGGGACAACTGGGAAAAATCTGAACAGAGCAGTTATTATATAGCATTAATTATTGGGAAAATGGTTTTATAACAATGTAAGAATTTGGTTTTTAAAGAGATAAAAGCTGAAATCTTTAAAGTTGAATTATCATATTTAATATAAAACACAGTACACACACACAAAAAAACACACCGGTCAAATATAAATAATTTTAAACCTATGTATGGATACTTGAGGTTTTATTATACTACTTTCTATACTTTCAAGTGGGAGCTCTGGTAGCACAGCGCCTAAGGCATTATTTGACTGCTAACCAGAAGGCTGACGGTTGAAACCCACCAGCCACTCCTCGGAAGGAAGGTTGGGCAATCTACTTCCATAGTGATACTGCCTCAGAAACCCAAGGAGGGGTTGCTGTGAGTTGGGTCCAACTCGACAGCACATAATAGCAACAGCAACATACATTCAAGTATATTTGGAATTTTTCATAAGAAGTTATTAAAACATACAAATGGAACATCAGTAATTATTCATTCCTTTCTGCAAAGGCTTAACTAAATCCCGATGGTTTCTACTCACATGTGCTTTACTTCTCCAGTCTCCACTCCCTACACATCTTTAGAAGACGATTCAACTGGACTAATCTGTGAATGACTTGACGTACAAGGGCAAGGACATGGGACCTCCAGTCAGCCAAGGTATACCAATCTTTTCTTGGGCAAGTCAAACACAGCAAGAGAGTATCCACATACTTAAGTGGGAATAAAGTCGGTCTTGTTCCTAATCTACTTTGTGTCAATGAAGACAGTTAAGACTAGATTAGTATTCTCAGTATCTCCTTGAAGAAAAAAGAAAACACACACACAACTTTAAAGCACAGTAAGCACCACAGGACTACCATTTTTATCCTTCTCAAGCTTTGTGGGGGCCTAGGGGAACTATTCTATAAATCAGAGTTTATACTGTTGTTGTTTGTTGTTAGGTGCCATCCATCCAACTCACAGTGACACTGTCCAACAAAATGAAACACTGCCCGGGCCTATGCCAGAGTTTACATTAAGAGAAATAAATAAGCTTATTAGGACAGATTAGGAATAGAACCCATTTTTAAGTCCATAAAATTTAGCAGTAAATTGCCCACAATAAGCCTTCAAATGCCACAGGTTTGGATTGTAGAATGATCTTATGACAAAAATTGCTTACTTTAAGCATCAAAGTGTCCACTGTGGTCTGACTTTATCACAGGTAGCTACCTAACTTTCCTCAAGTTGAGCATACAACGTCATCTTACTGTAAAATGAACTATAGCAAGTCTGTATTTCATTGAAGACATACAAATTTAGAGAAATTTACTAAGTATTGCAGAACTCGATGTAAAAGGGAAAATTATTAGAGCCACCTAAAAGCGGAACCAGTTAAGCAAAAATGTAACTGTAGTATCAAATGTAAAAATATCTTATCCCTAAATGAGAACGGTGCCAGTGGATTTAAAAAGGTGAATCCATGGTGTGTGTGGTGCCTTCACCAATGCCTTCTTTCCAGCCTGAGCAGTTCATAGGACCACCCCTCCAAGGCACCTACGGGATCTAGGAGGGCATCCTTGACTTCTTCACCATAACGGTTTCGAAGGCAGGGGCCACAGAACTGGCCTCGGACACCCCAACACTCTGGGTTTCTGCAATTTGTTTTGGTATCGAGAGTTTTCTGGCGACATTGATGACAGGTAGATCCCTAGAAATAATAGGCAAATGAGAAAAAAAGAACATGGCATATTTAAAGAATATTCTTTATAACAGAATCTGAGACTTTGCCTATAAATCTTAATTCCACATCTACATACACAGGTATATATGATTGGGCCTAAAAACTATCTCAAGCATGGTGACTATTCAATTCATAGACTCAGAAATCAATATTACCAAAATAGCACCTTCAAAAAACAATTCTGTCAATGCAAAAAATAACCTGTTGAAACACATTCTTTAGCACACCACCGTATCTCTAGCACCTAGCTATGTAGCCATACATAATAGATACACAATGAATGAACCAATTTTTAAATCAAGAGAAAAGATTAATATCATTGCAGACTTACTAAGCAAATCACTCAAGTGAGAAGAGGACTAAATCCCAGGATACTATAAAACTTTCCTGCCTTGTACAGCAACAAAATGCACAGACACACGTTTCATATGCTCAGATCTTTAGAACACCGCAAACTTCTAGGGAACATAAAGGCTACCCTTCTCTTGTCACAGACATGCACATTTTCATGTTCACTTACATTTAGATGTTCTTACCAATGAGCGGTTATATATCTTCTCTCGGGAGTTACTGCAGATATTCTCCAACTCTTCCTCTGTGATTTCTTCCACTGGGCGGATTACATGAGGAAGGGTCATGGGCCCTGGGCGACGGTTTCTGGGCATGTCATCTTCCTGCAAAACAAAAAGCGAGTCTTTACTGGCTCTCCCCATCTGTGACCCTCATATTCCTAATTTGTAATTTCTTCACAGAGAATTTGATCTAGAAATCTTTGAGAGCTTAAGGAAAGGAGGTGAATCATAAGTTTATTGTTAGGATCACTGAAGAACATCATGGAAATAATTTTACAATTAAGCTAAGGAAAACTTTGATTCTCTCATCTGCCAGCAAAATCATCAATTACTCGATGTGACAAACAACTGTGAAGAGTTTAAAAAACATATTTAATAGGGATTACTTGGTGTTGAGGTTAGGTACATGGTTGTGTGTCCGACAGTGGCCTACAGAAGATGAAAAACAGAATAAGTACAAATGTGGAGAACTCACATTCATGTAGTCGTCCATGACCTTCCTCTTTCTCACCAATAAGTACTTGTCCTCCTCTTCCTCCTCCTCCTCCTCCTCTGTGGGCAGAGCCCCAGGGAATCCCAGAATCCGAGACCTTGACCTGGTAAGAGGACGAGCTCTCCGTTCAGGGTTTCTCCTGGAAGCAACACCTGGGAACGTGCGTCTTCGGGGTGTCTTTGATTGCTGAACAAAACACACCATGGAACCCATTTATTCCAGACTGGAGAAAAGTGGCACTTTTGAAAATCTTTAAAGGATGTTTTCTTTTGAGTAAAAGAAAGCTCCACTTCTCAATTTTCTTTGCCTTTTCCATTATGTATGAAACACAAATCCAAAATCTCTAGTTACCATAAACTTGTTTTGGTAATACCAAGACTACAGTTTCCCTGAAATTAAGACATCTGTTTATTCTTCTACATAATAAAAATATAAAAACTGATCTCTTTTTCCAAAAAAACTTTTCTATGCCACGTCTTCAGCCTTGAAACATAGTCACTGTTTCTCTACTGCAAAATAGAGAAATAAACATATGGTTTTCCTTCCTTCCTTCCTTACACAGGGGGAGGTGGAGAAAGGTAGGCTCTTATACTGGCAGATATACCAAACTCCCCTGGGTAACAGCATCTTTAGTTCCTCAGAATACCTTATATGGCATTAGACAACGATTTGGTTAAGAAATTCTTTTTTCATTATTTTTCCTTATTCTCATATTTAAAAAATAAAATAAAATCTATTACTCATGTAATAGAGGAAATGTGTGTGTGTATGTATATGTATATAAATTTCCCAGTCCTCATTCCTGGCACTTGAAGGGCTTAGTCTACCTGGGAGAAGTCACAAGTGCCAAAGACGCAAGGTAGGTCTCCTCAAAACCCATTAGGTTTCTTTGTCCGTAAGACTACACAAAATAAGGAAACTGGATTTTGAAACACTCACCCGAGGTTTGGTCAAATATAACTAAACAAAGCTTTGTACTTACTGCACCGGGGACTGGTAAGGAACGTCTACCAGGGAACGAGCCAGGGAAGCTTTCTAACTCTGACATTAGTTTTGCAAGCTAAAAAGGGTGGGGAAGAAAAGAGATGATTTGTTTAGAATAACTGCTGAAAATGAGCAACTAACTTCTGGAAATTATGGTAGCACATTTCATGGCTTTATATTTAACAATAAGTTGACACAGTCAAATAGTTTCTGATTTCACCTAGGCACGTCCCAAGACTTTAATGAACTAAAATTTAAAAGTTAGTTTAGGGAAAGAAACGCCCTTCACAGCACACATTATGAAGACTTCATAGCTACACTGAAAATAATTCTTAGGACACAAGATTATTAGTGTTACCAGGTGTAAGAGGGAGAAGAAAGGGGAAGCTTTTGTTTGCAGGGCATTAAGCTTATGCTAATGGTGCTGGAATAATTTGGAAAAGGACACCAATAATGGTGGCACAACATGAAAAATGTCACCAGCGTCCCTGAGTAAACATGGAAGTTGTTAGGTTGGCGAATGTCTTGTTTGTACGTTTTCACAATAAAAGTAGGGAAAAAAAAAATCTTAGGACACAGATGTAAGTAACAAATGTCTTAGAGCAAAGCTGGGAAGAAGAGCTAACACAGTCAAAGTCAGATACCTACCATTGCTTTGTTTTGCTTTATATTTAAAGCCCTTTTCTCCAAAAAATTCATGCCTTTTTCATCTTCTGAATCAGAACTGGCATCAGTCACAGAGCTCTCTGAGGACTGGGGAGGAACTGCCTTCTTCTTGGCCGCTGTCCTGGTACTTCGTGTTGGAAACGTCATTGCCACTCTCAGGGGTCCAGAACGTCTGCACTGACTGCGGGTCCTGCAGCCTTCCTGGGCAGCCTGCAGTCTCTAGTTGATCAGAACTTAGCAGTTAGTGACTTGTTGATTGGCAGCTAGGATGCCTCAGGCTAGCTACAAAATCCCTTTTGCACAAAAGACACATCAAATAAATTTCAACTGAACACTGATGACTCTGGATGACAAAATCGAGAATTATGTATAAATACAACCATCTGAATATGTTATAATCTGAGTATTGTTATTAGCTATCTTTACATCCTCTATATCACACTGTGGCTCTGAATCATTTTTTAAAATGTGAAAAAAACTCTGTTCCCCTTTAAAATTCTTAAAACAGATCTTTATGTATTTTAAAACTTCTACAGGAAAAAGTTATGTGCTCTTCCAAAAACATGGTATTAAACTATATTAAAATCTCTCAATTCGCTAATCCCACTTTTTGTAAGCTTAAGAAAAAAAATTCAGATTTCAAAAATAATACAGATTGCCATCACTAAAAATGTATTAAAATTAGCCACCAGGGAAATGTAGAGCAAAACTATAATATGATGCCATTTCATACCCACCTAACCCAAAAAACAAACTCAACGCTACGGGATCAGTTCTGACTCCACAACCCTATAGGGCAGAGTAGAACTGCCCCATAGTTTCTAAGACTATTATAATCTTCACAGAAACAGATAGCCACATCTTCTTCCCAGGAAGTGGCCGGTGGGTTTGAACCAACAACCTTTTGTTTGGCAGCCAAGCATTTAACCAGTGTACAACCAGGGCACCCTTCATACCCACTAAACAAGACCAAAACCAAACCCACTGCCATCAAGTCGATTCCAACTCATAGCGACCCTGTAAGAGACAGTAGAACTGCCCCACAGGGTTTTCAGACCCACTAGGACAGCTAAGGAGCTCTGGTGGCATAGTGCCTAAGGCATCTGACTGCTAACAAGAAGACCAGTGGTTCAAACCCACCAGCCACTCCTTGGAAGGAAGATTGGGCAATCTGCTTCTGTAGAGATACCACCTTGGAATCCCAAGGAGGAGTCGCTATGAGTCAAATGGACTCCACAGCAGTGAGTTTGGTTTGGAGGATAGCTAAGATAAAAAAAGATAGAAAATAACAAGTGTTGGTGAGGATGTAGAAAACTGAAATCCTCATATACTGCTGATAGGAATGTAAAATGGTACAGCCACTTTGGAAAACAGTCTGGCAGTTCCTTTAAATATAGAGTATATAGAGTTACTACATGACCCAGTAATTTTACTCCTTGATATATACCCAAGAGTATTCAAAATATGGCCACAGAAAAACTTGTGTATGAATGTGCACAGCAGCACTCATAATAGCCCAAAAGCAAAAACAACTCAAATGTCCATCATGGAATGGATAAAGAAAATGTGGTATAACCATCTATACAATGGGCTATTGTTCAGCAATAAAAATGAAGTACTGAAACATGCTATAGAATGGATGAGCCTTGTAAACATTATGCTAAGTGAAAGGAGCTAGACACAAAAGGCCACGTATTACATAATTCTTTTTATAGGAAATATCTAGAATAGGCAAATCTATGACAAAGTAAGCTGGTCATTGCCCAAAACTGGTGATATTTTGGGTAAGAATGAGAAGTTAACTATTAATGAGTATGGGGTTTCTTTCTGGAGTGACGAAAATATTCTAAAAGTGATTGTGGTAATGGTTGAGGGGGAAAAAAAAAAAAAAACAGAAGGAAAAAATATCACCTATAAAGCCCTAGAAATGAAAAACCCATTTTTAACATTCAAAATTTCCTAAATCCCGACAACAGCTTTCAGTACTTTTCAGTGTCCATGGATTCAGAGACCGAAAATGTCAAAAGATTACTAAGAGTTAACACTTTTAATCAACTGGCATTTTATTAATCACAACAGTATCTAGAAAATATTGAAACATTGCCAAGAAATTATTCTCGCTACATACAATGTTTGGGTCACATTCAGATTTGCATCAGGCTCCTGCAATATCTCCAATAAGCACTGAGTTAGACCCCCATTACCTACTGGAGGAAGCATTACCTTACCACAGATAGTTAGATAGTGGGAAAACACCCCTTGGCCAGGTATTGTCTATCACTTGTATCAGGGCTATTCAAGTGTGGTCCATAGGCCATGGACCTGTGTCAGACCACACTGAGTTGAGGAGCTTGGATCTGATTGCAAATCAAGGCAATGCTTCCTTTCTTGAGAAAAGTCTTGTTTAACAAGAATATGTCAACAACTAATCAGTGTGCCCAGGGTGGGTGGGACTGGGCGGGGGCGGGGAGCAGAGAGCAGCAGCAGCAGCAGTAGCAGCAGCAGCAGGGGTGGCCTGACCAGGACAACAGACCTTAGTAAAGGTAATAGAGCAATAGCACAGGAAAAGCCAACCAGGGAACAAAAGTGGACACAGGAAGGGCCCTAACCGTCACTGTCCATACTCAGGCCCCTGTACATGGGTTAGTTCAGGTTTTCAGATCCACTAGGGGAGCTCTCATTTATTAAGTGCCTGTTCTAGGCTAGGCACTGGGCTAAGCACATGAAGTTAAAGAGGAACGTAGCTAATCTTTAGGGCATGTGTACTTCCTCTGATGAGACTGGATTTCTGTGGTAATGGAAATCTTCCAGTTGGTGAATTCTATCTTACCAGCTTCCAAGATTCTCAGAGCCTATACAATGTCCAAGATTTACAAGTAGGGCTATATTAAATAAAAACTGCTTTAAGACATAAAGAAAATACTCTTTAAATAAAAAAAAAAAATTAAAAAAAAAAAAAAAAGTCAACCAAATCTTCAGGCATGACTAAAATAAAAAGGAAAACCAAAAGTAAAAAAAAAAAAACAAAAAACCAAATAATATGATGTCATGCCTCTAAATATACCTTACTTCTTGAAGGTGAAAGTCTCAAACTCACCATTCCATCTTGTATCTCACTCTCTGAGAAACCACAAAATGATTCATCGTCAGAGTCGGCATGAAAAAGACTGGCCAGTTCTTTACTGACATCTGGCCTTGGTTTGGGTTTCTGTAAAAATCCGCAATGGTCTAATACATCTTGCACCTCACTTTCTGAAAAGCCGCAGAAAGATTCATTATCAGAGTCCTCATAAAAAACATTTGCCAGTTCTTCACTGATATCTGACCTGAATTTAGGTTTCTGTAAAATAAATAAATAAATGTGGTTGTGCATTTTTTTTTCTTTTTCAAGAACCAATTTTCCATAAACCGTGCAGAGAGCAAATCACATTTACAAGTGCACTACAAGAGAATAGCTTTTGTTACAAAGAAAAATGGTTCAGGGGTTTACAAATGATTTCTGAGTTGTTATGGCAAATCATCAGGCATGTTAGGTTAGGCGACATTTCAAAAGGATAGAATAAGTAGCTATTCTACCTCCAACAATTACTACCTAGAACCACAGCAAAAAGTGCAATGAAATTACAGTGCATACTGTATTTTCATAACGGCTGTATAGAAATGTAGGCAAAAAGCAAGCAGTTTTAATCACGCACAAAGCATTTGGGGCATTTTGAGCACTGCAGACTCAATTCTGTTTATTCTCAGGCAGCACTTACCGTGTTTGCAAAATTATCAGAAGCAAAGCTGTCACAACTGTCATCAGAGGATGACGAGGTTTCCATGGAAATCAACTTCACATATCTGAATTTCTTGAAGTTCTGTACTCTGAGATTCTTTTGCTGCAAACGGAAATGGCAGTACTATTAAGTGGGATGTTTACTCTAGTATCTAACTAACGACCTCACTTTTGAGTTTAGTAGGTCTAACAGCACAGTAGATATGCCCATTTTTTTCCTGACAGCACATAACAACAATACATAGAAAAAGGAGGATTTGCAATTGCTAAAAAAATTTCAGTGTGTAAATTATTGAATGGGAAAACTAATTTGTTCTGTTAACTTTAACCCAAATCACAATAAAATGTTCAAAACAAAGAAACAAGAGCAAATGGGTTTATGAACTAAATATTTCCTTAAGGAAAGCTATCCATGATATATTATTGATAAGAAGGCAAAAGGAGTTATAAATTACTGTGCATTTTGTGTTTTAACAAAAACTGTGTTTAAAAAAATATTCAACACCAGATCAAATCCTAAGAAAGGGTCACCATGGAGGAAAATTTTAATGGTATTTATCAATTTATTCAAAAATAAGCAGAGCTACAACCTCTACCCACCTTCAGAGCCTCTAAGCTCTTAGCATTATACAGAGCTCCCAAAGGGTTTGGTTTAACGCTAACTCCTAAAATCCACCCTCTTTCCTTAAAGAAAAAAAAAAAAAAAAAAATTAACTATACTAAAAGGAAATTTTGAAAGTACTAAATGGTAGAGTGATTTTTCTCCTTCAGCCAAAATCAAGCTCAATGAGGTCTTTTTATGTAAGCTTTGGGCTATGTACTGTGATGCTAATTTCACAAACTACAAAAATGGGCAGGACCTCTATTTCAAGATGGCAGGCTTCCAACAGGCACCGTTCCAATCAGGAGGGACATGGTGATTTCTGCACAAGTCCTTACAAATCAAATACATCAGCCCAATGAAAAAATGGCGCAAAGAGCCAAGTTAAAGGTCAAACAGCACTCGAAATCCGGGTGGAATGCCTGATTCCACTTCAGGGCTCTATTAGCTGGCCTGACATTCAGCTCTCTCTGCAGTGTCCTTGCTGTACAAGATTTAAGCTTTTAGAAGTCCCTTTTATAAATACAAATCACTTACAGATATGGAATGCTTCGTCCACTCATAACACTAAACAACCCATACTGCTCATCAGGAAATGCAATTGACATCTATCTCATGTGAAAAGGACAGCAGTTTCTGCCATTTCTTACGTGAAATTTCCTAAGTGTTGCATTATTCCCATGTTTTTATTTTTGTAAATATGACCACAGGATAGAACTCACTGGCCTACATACACGGAAAGGGCAAGTTCTACTTCAAAGTGTCTACACCAACTCCTTACCTACAAACATGGTTACTTTCCAAAGTCATTATGTGAAAATGGAGGATGACCATACCAGATCATAAAATGGAAGATTACGACATTAATATATCTGCTAAATTCCATCATTACATGACTATCAAACCAGAGAATCATGGCCAAGTTGACACATAACCTTAACTGTAACAGCCAGCATTACTCTCACCTTGCACCTCAGCACTCATTACTGTTGTTAATATGCAAAATAGTTGAATAATAGAATTTTTACTACATTTGTAAATGCAAAGTGTCAGGGAATGAGCTAAGTGAGGAGTAGGTATCCTACCCCTGATTACCCTATGTATGTCAGAGTAACTGTACTCCATAATGTTTTCAATGGATGATTTTATTCACAAGTATATTGCCAGGCCTTACTTCCCAGGTGTATCTGGGTGGGTTTAAACAGCCAACTTTTTGGTTAGTAGTTTGTGCAACCGAGTCCTTCTATAAAAACCAAAATCACTGCCATGAAGTTGATTCCAACTCTTAGCGACCCCCTTTGGGTTTCTGAGACAGTAAATCTTTACAAAAGTACATTGCCCAGTCATCCTTCCATGGAGTGGCTGGTGGGTTTGAACTGCCAACCTTCTGGTTAGCAGTCAAATGCCTTAGGCACTATACCACCAGAGTTCCTTG